GTGCTCAGGAGGTCTCCAGTCCTACTTTTGGTTCCAAGCAGGCCCAGCTTGGAGGTCCAAGCAGGTTGCTCAGTAAATGTCAGCATCCCTGTACACATCCGCACATGAGCCAGGTGTCGATGTGACCATTGTAGAAATGGTGATGAGGCATTGCACCAGCTCCTTGAGCCCAGGGATCGGTACGCCATTCCTCCTGAGGTTCCCGGGATCACCTAAGCATCTTGTCCAGAGAAGCATGACTTCTCTTTAGATGTCCCGTGAGAGAGGTAAAAAGAGGTGCCGCTGTATTGTCGGAACTCACAAATTCTCTCTCAGCAAAGAGGAAGTCGCACAACCTGTGGGATGCTTTCATTCATTGGTCCTAAGGGAAGTTTTGGGTTTGGAGTCTCTTCACTTAAGCTTGCAGCATTCACGTTCCCAGCAATGGGGAAAAGTTCCGTTTCAGGCCTCAAACTTTTGCCCATTCTACCTGGAGAGCCAGGACAATTGTGTCACTCGACAGCCAGTGTCAGAGGGAAGATAGAGGTAGTGTGACCTGAAATGGTTTGGGCTCAAACGGAATCTCAAATCCTGAACTGACAGGACAACATTGGCTGCAGTTACAGATAAGTTGCCTACAGGACTCTAAGTTCAGAACTGGTTGACAGAGTTTCTCACACAGCTCACTGAGGAGGGCAGGGTGTCGGGGAGATGGGAGACATTAAAGTTTCCCCAATCCCAGGACAATGCCCAACCCATCCTTCCCTTGGCCTGAGATGGAAATCTGGTATGGCCTCTGTAAAGGATCCTTCAACAATGCATCAGGTGTTTGTGTGATTTTGCTAAGGATATCAATATCTAGAAAAAGAAAGGAAAAAAAAAAAAAAAGCCTTAATCTGACAAAATATAAATGTCTGCAGCATAGGAGTCTGCTTCTGTGGTAGCAATTCTGGGCCATGACTGTTGAATCAGTGTTTGTCATACAAGGCATGAAACCCCATCCATCAGCACACATCTATAGCATTTCAGATGAAGGGTGGTCTTGCAAAGGTCGCCCTTTGTGTCCCCAGGTTGCCTGGACCCTGCTGGTTTCTCTCTCCAGAAAGTGGCAGAGGCTGGATCCCCTTCTCAGGACAGACTCCTTGCCAGGCAGCCACAGCTATGGGGGTTGTCATCAGGCTCTTACTGACATTTCACTCGGCATCTGTTTTGGTAGAGTTGGTTCTTTTTTTGTGACTATGGAACATAACAACCATTTCAGAAGAGATGGCCCTAAAAGCCCTGGTCCAGACAAGAAAGCTTATCGTGATGTCTGGAGGAAAGCAGCAAGATTAACAAGCACCAGGAAGGGTGCTTCTGAAGCAACAGTGATTGGCCGTGTGTAGCTCTGGTAGAGTGCCAGGGAACGTCAGTGAGAAACAAGGGGATGGCTGAGGTATTTAGAAAATCCTTAAACCATGTCTGAGCCCAGAAATGGAAAGCAGTTGATGTCTATTGTCGCAGGAGAGAATGAGAATGTTTGTCCTGGGAAGATGGCAGGAAGGAAGGCCCCTGCTGTTCAAATCAGGGATGATCCAGATGTTTGCACCCATGGTTCTGCACAGGAGATTGGAACTGCCTGTGGCAGGGGGTGGCTGTGCTCTGTCATGCCCCAGGAGCTGACCTTGCTCCCTTTGCCTCCTTCCCTCCCCACACTTGCCTGGACCTCAGGAAAGATCCATGAGCTTGGAGGATGGACTAACCTCCTGGTTGAGGGGAAATAGGTTGAGTTTTGATTTTGAGGCAGCAGCAGAAGGAGCACGTGCAGTTCTAGTGCTGGGATATGGAGAGGATAAGGAAAGGATTCAAGTGAGTCTCTGGGCTGGACATCTTGGGTGACTGAGGAGCAGGAGCAGGGCTTTGGAAGAAGCTGCACAGGTTATGGGGAGCTCTCAGCCATTGGCAAAACCTCCAAATACCACAGCTTTGTGTTTGAAGCAGTGGTCAGCAAGGAGAGAAAGACGTAGGTAAATCTTGGGGCATCATGGGGTCAGAGTGAGGTGGGGAAGCAGGGGTGCTGGTTAAAATGTGCAGAGAAAGCTGCAGAGGCACAGGACAGTGCAGGACAGCCTGTGGTGGGGATGGTCCCTTTGTGGGGGCTGGGACCCCACAACAGAACTGAAGTCCATGTTCTTTTCACTATGGCTGCTGCCTCTTCCACTGTAGTGCCTGAGAGGAAACCAGTTCCTTACAGCCCCAGTGCTTTGTTGCCTCCTCACCCACTCACTCCAGAGCATCTGGGAGGAGTCCTACCACTGTCCTACCCTCGACATCCTCCCGCCACCCCCCATCTCACTGCTCCCAGGAAGAGCCCTGAGCATCCCGTGAGGGAAAGGATGCCCATTCCTAGGGTATGGGGGTCAGCGCTTGAACACCTTGCGTCATGAAACACTTCCAGTTTTTTCATAGCAATCTCCACATTTGATTGTCAACCTGTCACCAGTGCCTCTGACTCCTGCTTCACCAGCCCCAAGGGACAGCAGCCTTGTCTGCTCATTCCCTCCATAGTCTCTTCAGCGTTGGCCTTCAGTGGGGACTGAGAACACCCTCAGAAACTTGGAGCTTTGCTGCTTTTCCTTCTCCAGAGGCCAGCTCACTCCCCTTTCAGTATCTGCAGTTCAGGAACGTGGCACCAGAGGGCTCATGAACATGCCAAGCACCCCAACAAGCCAAGTCTCTGGGCATCATTTTGTTAACGACTTAGTTCTTCTCTGGTTAACTACAGAGATTTCAGAAGTGAAAATATTTCAATCAAAAAAACCCAGTAAGATAGGATTTCTTTTTCTCCCACTGTTCTTCATTTGTCTGCTTACACACTAAGCGATATCAGCAATCAAACCAAACATCTCCAAATGAAGGCTGAATCTGTAGGGAAGTCAAGGCCCTTTATGTCAGACACTTTGTGGGCAGTCTTTGTCCTGACCCTGTCCTGGCTGGCGTGAGAGGGAGGTAACAAATATAGTTTATTGATGTAAAACAGTGAGTTAACAAAGTTCAGTGGCAAATGCAACAATAGTTTATAAGATTCGATGGCAAGGTACACTTGGTGATTTACTGCACAGAGGACAGGGTGAGACAAAGCTGTCAGGGAGAGCCTCCCATTGGATCATGAGGTTCAGAGAGGAACCCCTTGCTTTCTAAACTCCTTCCTCAGAGAGGAGTCTAGGTGTGGCTGGATCCAATCCTAGTCCCAGGCTTGGTCAATGGTTTATGTCTAAAGGTTTAGATCTGCACAATCAATCCTTTATGTCACTTAGCCAAGGTTTCAGAGTTAGCATGCTGTGTGCCACTCGCCGACGATCTGTTGGGGTAAGGAATCTCTCAAACTCGAGGAGTGACCTTGAGTGGCATCCCTGCCCATGGGGAGATCCTGGCATGCAGCCCACTGCTGTGCAGGAGAGCCCAAAGGGCTCTTGGGCTGCTCAGCATTGATGGGGGTAAGATGACTGGCTCATAGCCATATTTGCATACTGACCATAGGTTTTTGTTTCCTTCACTGTGCTTAGGTGGGCACACTGCACAATAGCCTTTCGCTATTGTATTGTTATCTGTCTCCCCCAAATCCCCTCTGAGCTGGATGCATCCATCATGACCAGACACATCTACCATGACTGCCAGTGGTGGTTATCACTTGAGCAGAAGTATGGGAAGAGGTCAGGAGCAGGGGGTTCGGGGAGGGCTTGGGGAGGGGGGAGCACACCACCACACTCCACCCTGTGACTCTAGTCAATTCCTCTTACCTTCACAGAGTGGTGGTACGGTCACCTCTTGCCTCTGTGCCATAAATAGTGCATTGACTGTTCCTGTGTTTACAGATCCACGGTCAGTAGACAGTGAAGCACTTCTATTTGCTATGTGTTAATTTGCATGTTTTGGGGGGTTGAAGTTGGGTTATTTGGTTTATCATGTACCAAACCTTTGTATACAATGTAATTAGAAGCAATAGACATATTGGAGTTAGTAAAATCACAACTGGGTGAGCATAAGATTAAACAGTCCTGTGGCTGTTGGTGACCATCCAAGACGAATTTCCCATCAGTGGTGTTCTCCATCCTTCTTCGCTCTTTCCAAGACATGGTGTATCTCTTCTGTATCATGACGAACAGTGATTGGTGTTTTGTGTCCCTTGCTTCAGATGCGTTCTAACAGATAGCACAGGTCAACATGTTGTAGTAGTTATTTCACCAAGGAAGATTCATTTCAATGCAGGTGGGCAATAAAGCTTAAATGTGTAATTAGATGGTAACAATTGATAAGAGGTAACAGGAGCTGTATAATCAAAGTCACATCCCACAACTTTGGTAAAGTTACAAATATTTGAGTGATTGCTCATGCCTACAGTGATGTTATCTATGGATATAAAACCACAAAGGGTTCCCATACAAACCCATCCTTTTCCAATAGAAAGAGGTATGGCTGCCAGGGCTTCCTCTGCAGGCCACTTTTCTGGGCATGTTCTTGAGAGAAACTTTGGAAGAATTCTTAAGCCTTCAGGCATTGCCCTGAGGAGACTACCTTTCTTTATGGAAATGCTGTTATGTCTCAGAAGTGCCCATTGCCTGTCTAAGCCTGCGGTCACAGGTCTACTGAGCAGCACAACTGTGACCAACTGCCGGACTAATCATGCCTTACACCAAAGCAATTGCTCATAAAGAGTGTGGAAGAGGAAAGAGAAGAGCTCTGGAAGGCCAAGCACTGGTGGTCTCTGGCAGTCCTGCCATGCTGGGACTCTTTTCCCTTCCACCCATGCACACAGGAGCCGCCCTGTATCTCCAAAAAGGCATTGAAGGAAGGATCTCAGGGAAAAAAAAACCATTACCTTTATTTTGTTTAAACTCACGGAGAGCAGGGTGCCTCATTTACAAAGCCACTCAGTCAGAAAAGCAAAGCAGAGAGTGAATGAGAAAGGGGACAGCTTTGTCAGAAGTAAAAAACCACCACCATTAAAAAAAATACAGAAGACAGGCTGGGCCTGAAATGAGTTACATTATAGCTGCTGCCCAGAAGAATTTTGTTGCTTTAAAAAAACATTCAGTTATCAATTTCCACACAGCATCCTGGAGCTCCTGGTTCCTCATGCTGTAGATGAGGGGATTCACTGTTGGAGGAACCGCCGCGTACAGGACTGCAACCACAAAGTCCAGCAAAGGAGAAGAGATTGAGGGGGGCTTCAGGTAGGCAAACGTGCCAGTGCTGATAAACAGGGAAACCATGGCCAGGTGAGGCAGGCACGTGGAAAAGGCTTTGTGCCGTCCCTGCTGAGAGGGGATCCTCAGCACGGCCCTGAAGATCTGCACATAGGACACCACAATGAATACAAAACACCCAAGTGCTAAACAGGCACTGACCACAATAAGCCCAACCTCCCTGAGGTAGGCATCTGAGCAGGAGAGCTTGAGGATCTGGGGGATTTCACAGAAGAACTGGTCCACAGCATTGCCCTTGCAGAGGGGGACTGAAAATGTATTGACTGTGTGCAGCACAGCATAGGGAAAAACACTGCCCCAGGCAGCTGCTGCCATGTGGACACAAGCTCTGCTGCCCAGGAGGGTCCCATAGTGCAGGGGTTTGCAGATGGCAACATAGCGGTCATAGGCCATGACAGTGAGAAGAGAAAACTCTGCAGTAGCACAGAAAAATAAAAAAAAGACTTGAGTAGCACATCCCAAGTAACAGATGTCCGTAATGTCCCAGAGGGAATTGGCCACTGATTTGGGGAGAGTGGTGGAGATGGATCCCAGGTCGATGACAGAGAGGTTGAGGAGGAAGAAGTACATGGGGGTGTGGAGGCGGTGGTCAAAGGCTATGGCGGTGATGATGAGGCCGTTGCCCATGAGGGCAGCCAGGTAGATGCCCAGGAAGAGCCAGAAGTGCAAGAGCTGCAGCTCCCGTGTGTCTGTGAATGCCAGGAGGAGGAACTTTGTGGTGGAGCTGCTGTTGGACATTTTCTTCCTCTGGGAATGGGGCACATACCAAGGAGAAAAAGACAGTGATAATTTAGGGGAGACATCTCTGAGGAAAATAGAAGCCATTTCTCATACACCCTCCCGCTGTTTCATACACTGTTTTCCTTTTCCAGGAGACATTCCTTCATCTCCATGGCTGCCGCTCTGGTTTGTTTTGGCCAACCATGCCGTGAGGAGCAGGGCCTCTGCTCACTGACTGCTTAGGAGTCAGCCCTGCTCTGCAGCAGTGAGCTCGTGGGAGTGGTGGGGGCAGGGGCCAGTACTGGTGATTCCTTTTTCAGATTACACTGCTCCTATCGCAGAAGGATTTGTCATCATATTCACTCTCCATGTTAAGGAAGGGGGATTGCAAAAGGCAGTTTGAGAGTTTGGGGGGCATCTTACCTGCAGATTTTCTTGGATCTAAGAAACACTCAGCATTTCTGCTGCACTCAGGGAGAACAGAGAGAATCCATCAAGGCAAAAGGATTGTCTGTGGCTTAGTGCAGAATGAGGGCAGCTGGTCTGTCCCTCCAATTTGTTCTGAGCTGCTCTGGGCTTATTCTTCATGAGATGGAGGGTCATCGCAGTCATGTGTTACCCTGAAAAACAACCAGAACAGAAGGATCCAGTGCAGACCACTAAATGTCTCATCCTTTTTCACAGTCTAAGAAGCCCACTTGTAGCCAAGGACTCACATGGCTCAATTCACAAATCCAAAAGCATTTTCTCCATAGAGAAACTCCACCTCACTGGAGAGCCTACCCACAAGTTCAGTGCGTGAGACTGCAGCTGAAACTCCACCTCCCCAGAGAAACCGGCAGCAGGAGTGAAATAACAAAACCAGTAACACAGACCAGTGGAGGAACAAGGAACAGTATAGTGAGCTTAGAGAGCCCAGGGCAGAGGCAGGCAGGCCCCCAGGCAGCGTTACCCTGCCCCAGCTCTGCACGCCACCTCCCAGGCACCACCATTGCCGGGCAGCTGCTCTCAGCCCCTGGGCTCTGCACAGGGAAATGGCCTGATTTTTTCTATTTGTTGCATTGCGCTGCCCAGAAATCTGGAATATCAAACTGGAAAGATAGAGTCAGGAAATCTCCTTGTCTTCATAGTAATCCCTGCCTTGATCTTCTCCTCCAGACATTCCCTTTGAAATGTCCTGGGGTTGATGTGCATCCCTGAGCAGCCCTGACCCACACTGCACCCTCTAAACAGCAGAAGGACCCTGCCTTGCTGGGGGTTACTCCTTCAATTCCACAGTCCCTGCTGA